GATGCGGCAAAGGGAGAGGGGAGAAGGGAAAAGGCCAGGCTTGGATGGAAGATATCTGCACTGGAGGACGATGCGGCAAAGGGAGAGGGAAGAAGGGGAGAAGGCTTGGACGGAAGATGTTAGGAATGGAAATTTACGTGAGCAGTGCCAGACGGAGTGATGAAATGGGGAAGCAGCAGGGAGGGGAGGTACATATACATTGGCTGGCCACTGTGCGTCATTACCTGACACTGAGGGGAAAAGGGTACCGGGCACACGTAATGTACATCTCATATCCAGGTTCATATGAAATGTTTAAATGTCATAAACTTACATGTATACCGGTACATGTGCATGTACATGCACAACCAGGCCATGTGAGCATGGTAAAAAACTTACTGGAAACTGGAATATTGCCAAACATGCACATGTATATTTAGCTGTCCTCAATGCCAAAAGAATCGGGGGAACACAGCTCCAATATCACTCAAATAGATTTGGGGGTTCTGAAAACAGCAAGTGCCTCAATATCTGCATGAGCTCTGTACATAAACAGGTGCTGTGTTCCAGGTTTTTGATCGATTGAGACCTTGGCCAATCACGCTACAGGAACGGAAACACTGACAAGTGCACTGCATCCATGTACTGCCTGTACCCAGTGTCTCGGATGCCATGGGGGAAAAAAAAGTATTGACATGGCATGGCTGTGCTGGCACCAACGACTGGGATGGATAGATACTGCGTATGACCAGACACAATCCTGAAAAACAAAATGCCAAATGTACCGGTGCATGTACATGTACATTCATGTACATGACAGGCATGAAAAGACAAGATACATGTAGATCTTTGCCAAATGTACAAATTTATGATTATTTACATACATGTACGTGTTTTGTTTTCATCAGAACTTGATGTGGCACAACCAGATGAAAGTTTGGGGGCAAAAAACACTTTACACAGTCTTATCTCCAAGGGTGAAATTTCTAACAAGTGAGTCACTTTCACAAAGCAGGTAGCTTGTGTTGACACAGCATATTGGATGCCCGTACATTTTCAGCAATTTCTATTCTAGAAACCTTTCAGAGTCCTTGCTCCTGTACATGTAGTCGTGACTCATTTTCAAAGATCTGAGTCACAAGTACATGTACATGAACATTCGTGTTACCATACTTGTCCAGTAGACTAAACTGTTAGTCTAAGTTCAATGCCCAGACAGCATATTATTATCGTATCAACGCCAACCTGTTGTGGGCACTTGCTACCATTCAGCCCCAAAGCACTCAAAATGGGATTTACTGGTTCATCAGCTACTCCCAAATCTCCCTGCGCTGCACCAAGTAAAGGCAGGTTTCTCCAAGGGTGAGGCTGAACAAAGACACAAATTAAATGTCAGATGTCCTTAATGGGATTGCACAGGAACCCCAATCTGTGGGCTCTCGTCATCTCAGCTGACCCCGCAATATTCATGAACATCGCTAATTCAATGGAGCTGGCCCTGGTAATCAAATTAATGTGCTGGCTACATCTAATAACGGCTGGCTGCCAACAAGAAGGCAAGCTTGGCCATCACTGCATTGTTACAAATACGCTACTCAGTTTTCCTTTGACATGTTTAATGTACGCGTACATACTTCAGGCGAATACGAAAGCAAAGCAAATTTTACGTCAAGAAAAAATTGCAGCGAATTTCACTTGAGTTGAAATGTGTTTGACTTTTGCAAACTCGTAGCAAAAATATTTGATCTGCCCTCACAAATTCGCGTTTGTTTTTGCTTTCGTCGAAGTACGTGTACCGGTACATGTATGAAACGGCCTTTAGACAGCAGCTCTTGCTGTCATGTGGGAGGTTAGCTTGAATGTCCTAGAGTGTTGAAGTTGTGATATCATTTTAAAGACAACCACTGTAATTCAATGTTATATAATTCAAGATTGGATAACTCAGGTTTACATGTACCGGGTGTCTTATTTCATATCCTAAGTCCTGTAGTTCTTTCATTTTATTTTAAAACTAGATGTAGGTAGTTGAAGAGGAATGCCCTCAATAATTCTGTTCAAGGTGTTGCAATCAATCTGTCCACTTTAAGTTTAAGACAAGTTGTTTGTCCATAAAATTGGGACATTAGGTCCACCTGATAGTGACTGCATTCCGCTTTCTACATTCCCAAAGACAGCAAAATGTTGCTGAAAACCTTGGCAAGCATGTTCCTTCAAAAACAACTTCAAGTCGAAATGGTTGACACCAGAAAAGTGTAAATATGAACATAAGGGGTCTTGAGTACCGTACATGTAGCTTTCAAAATCCACCATAATTAATGTCTGTCAAAAAGGACAGAGAAAGTTAGTACACTTGCAAACTCCCAAGGTACATGTACCATAAACAAACGCCCAAACGAACAAGTTCTGCAGACTGGGAATTCAAGGTTCTGTTTCCAGTGCTGGAAGTACGGTACACACTGTGCACATCATCAATCTCCTGATTCACACCTGACTGGCTAGTCCAGAAATGCACATAACACGCGGGGTGCCATGGTGTTAGACTGCGAGCTGTGGTGTGTATTTTGATAACTTGGAGGAATGAACATGGTATGAACGGGTCAAAGAGATTGCTATGAATCATAAATGATGGTAGAGACGTAAGCCACATGGGGAAATTCTTAAGACTACAAACACGTACATGTACACTGTACCGGTACAGTACATGTATATTGTAAATATGCATAATTACATGTATATTAGCTTCAGCAGTAAAGACATAGATGGTCTGGGACGTTTTAGCCGCTGCTGGCCTCAGTAGAGTAACATTGGAGCTTGGTCACTCTATGACAAATCAAATGCCCTCCAATGTGACTCAACACACACGGGCCTGAAAAAAGTCGTCAAACATGTCAAATGAACGGTGCCTTTTCAAACAAATGACAAGAGAGTTTCAGTTTGATGGCGTTTCTTCCAATAGATCCTTTTGTCACTTCGGGCACCCATAAACTGCTCGTCTGTTTTGGTGGCATCTTTGGAGGCCTACATGTATGTATTGTTTTCTCAGAAAGTTACATGTACATGTAGACGCTGAAATAGGCGTGAATGCCAATTTTGGCTGATGTTTCTAAATTCTACAATGAAAAATGGTTCACCTCGTCAAACCTGGAAGTTATGGACCCCTAAAATCTAAATTTATATGCTGTTGAAGTGATTTTTGAGTTCAGATTTTGGGATTCCACGAAATTTAGGAACTTGACGATATATCAAAGCTTGTTTCATAGGAAATATCAGTATGATGGGGCCTTCAACACAGTACTGTGACAAGAGATCACCTCAACTACCCCCATGTTTCTGTTTGACAATATATATGTATATATGATTTTGCTGGCACATTAGATGGAAAACTGATGGTAAGGAAGTAACGTTGTAACCCATAGACTTCATTCAGAAAGTCCAAATGGTGAACAACTGATTATGTGACCGTGATGTACTGGATTATGCACTGAATTTTAGATGATCCGGGCGGAAAATTTCTGAGTATGCAAGGAGCATCCAATGAATTCTTCCCAAGAGATCAGTACAACTGGTAACTGAACCTGTAAGAAATGTTACAGGTTACAGTAGGTGAATCTAGCCCCTCGCCCAAACTTACTTCCCTCTCTTCCCCCTTTTCCCATTCCTGGACCTTACCCGCATGTCCGGTTCCAGGACCAGCCGCTGCTTGTTCAGGTAGTTGCCGCCGGCCTTGTCCTGGTTGGAGATGAGCTGCCGGCTCTCCAGCCCTTCGTCGGTCTCCTCGTCCTCGTCGGTCACCGTGTGTTGATAGCACTGTGGGTCAGTGCTTTGCATGTACTCCTCCCGCTGCTTCAGCCGTAAGATGCGCAACTCCTCCTGCCTGTAAGAGGGTCAAAGTTCCCCTCATTAAGCCTAGTGCTGCCCTACTATGTGAGAGGTACATACCAGTACATGTTGGGTTACATTTGGCAGCCCAAATGCATCTATGGCATATCTAGATGTTCGGAATGTGAAGAAGCACTGTTGCAAAGTGCTTACTCAGCAAAGTCACCTCAAATTTGCAAAATCTAAATAGCATACCTATCAAAACTTGGCAGCCCAACTACTTCAAGAAGATCGTTAATGTAAAGCAACTAAACTGCGGCAGAATGATGACTGACCAAATGCAAAATCTAAACAGTTAGCAGTCCTGTTTTTCACTGTCAATCCTTGAAGTACTGGTATCTTTCCGGGGATAAATTTCAGTCCAAGCAGAAACGACCGAGATTCTCGAGAGAATCTTCCTTGAGAAAGAGTTGACCCTTGCAGAAACTGCCCAGATTAAGATCTTTCTCACAAATTATTCACCTAGCATGGAAACAGCAGGACCTCCGACTCTTTAGATTTGCATTCTGAGGGTGACCGCCTTTGAAAATGCTTGTGAAGTGATGAAAATGTTTTTTTGAAATGCTTTCAAAGGAATAATAAATAATGTAGTAGGGATCACTGCCATGCTTTGAAAAAAAAACCAGAAACACTGTGGGAGAACATCTGGTGAATGTTCCCATTGTTCTAAGCAAATTTACACTTTGATCAGTTTATCAACCACACATTTATACTGAGAGCATACTGGTACCAGTAACTCTGGTAACAAAAGGACCCAGCAATAAATTCCTTTCGGGCACTGCACCTTCAAAGGTACATGTACAGTCAATCATTTGTCATATGAACATCTTAATCCTTTGAGGCAGTCAGTTACTTTTTGGATAACTGCAAATGATTTACTGTACCTTTAAGATGGACTTACTCTCACCTTTTCTTACGTTCCTCCATGATCCTTCGCCTCCGGTCTTCCTCCGCAGCTTTCTGTGCGGTCTCTGGCTGCATCACCCAGATTGGCTGTGGTAGCTGCTCTTGGATGTAGAAAGACGGGGTCTTCATAGAGGCATTCTTGCTGGATGACAGGGCCTGTTGGAGCTCCTTCATGGCATCCTTGACGTCCACCGGTTTGGGAGGTGGTGGGGTCTCTTTCACCGGCTTTGGGGGATACCTCCCAGCAACGGGACTTCCAAGGTTCAGGTTTTTGTAGCCTGGGCTGAAGTTAAACTTCTCAGGGAATTTGTCCGGTGCCACAACACTGCTGCCCACTCCACCACCGGACTTGGGCTCATCCTCTTCGTCGGCGTCCGAAAACTGATCCTCCTCGGGGTGGGGTGGGAGACTGCCCGCAGCTACATTGCTCTCAGCGTGGCCGGCCAGGCGCACGCCCACCACATCGTACTCCATTGGGCTGACGTTGGGCATGTTGGGCTTGCGCTGGTCCTGCTTTGCCCCGGCTGCGCCCAGCTCTTGTGGTGTGGTTGGGGGACTGGGCCCCGAGTACTCAGATGACTGCCGGCTGCTGTCAGGCTGGACGCCGCTGTCCGAGCCAGCACTCTGCTTGTTCCTGTCGTTGGACTTCCACAGGTTGGCAAGCTCCCTGGCTGCCAACCTGGCCAGGAGGTTTTCGTCAACACCAGTTGGTGGGATGACCGGAGCCCTGTCATCGCTATCAGTGCTGCCGTCAATGTCTAGATCGTACTTCCCTCCACCAGACGACCCTGCAAGATCCTCTTTCCCGCTGGGATGCTGGTGGGATGGGGTGTTGCTGTCTTCAGCACTTCCAGCAGCATACCCTTCATCAACTCGGTATTCCCCTTCATTGGCTTCATCTTCGCTGCTTGATTCGCGATTTGCCATCTCATAGCTGTTGCGACGTCTAAGAGATCTTGGCCTCTCCTGGGGTGCAGAAGTGCTGCCTGGTTTGCCAAATATGCTGTTGGGAACATCCGGGCTCTTACTGGAGCCACCCATGCGCTCATCAAGGTAGGCTCCACACTCATCACAGTCATCAAAAACCACCTCCCCACTGGCACCATCTGACAGTTCACTCACATTGAAGTTGTACTTGTCAGCAACCCTGCCCCTCTGCAAGGCACTAGAACCAGGGCTGACCCTTGGTAGATTGTTGGCATTGGAGTTATTCCTTGGGGGTTCCGGCTGAGCTGCTTGAAGCCGTGGCGAACTGGTGATACGTTTGGCTGGTGAAGGCAGGCCTGATCTCTTCTGTACCTGCGTCTTGGCGCCTGCTGGTTGTGAGCCAAGCTGGCCAGGGAGTTGCGATGCTGCCTGGGCCCTCCCTCGGGTGCTCAGTCCAGGGCTGGCCTTCTCTGCTGCTGATCTGAGAGACGACACAGCAGCATACTCATCATTGTGGCGTGCCCGCACTGGACTGGTTCTCTGCCCAGGAAGGGACGCACTTTTGGCACTGTGTCCATTTTGAGTCCTCCTGCCAGCTTCCTCGGCAGTATTTATGAAAGTACTTGAGGACAGGTTTTTCTCCAAATCGAAAATCTCCTTCATCTCGTTCTGGAATCGGGACTTCAGGGAGGCCACTGGCCTGGCACCCCCAGGAACAGGGAGCGGCTTCTGGGCCTCAGCTGGTTTTTCCATCAACTTGTCCTGATGCATCACCTGCTGACTGACCTCAACCTTTGGAAGGCCTGCATTTGATTCTGGGACTTGTCTCCTTTGAGCATGTCCAGGACCGACACCTCTGGCATCATTCTTGCCGGCTTCATATCTTTCCTGCTGCTTCCTTTCAGGAGCAGCTCCTGTCGGAGAAGTTTTACCTGACAGCGCTGTGGCTGATGTCTGTGCTGATGGCAGCTGTCTCGTAGGCACTCGTCGTGTGGGGCTTCTTGGAATCTGACCGGCTGAATGTTTTGCGAGTGGCCTGGTACCCTGGGCATCTCTATGTTGAGCTGTGGAGGCCTGTTGAGAAGGAGCGTTTGCAAATCTTTGGGGCTGAGTGGTAGTACTGCTGTTTGCAGGAAGTCGGGGAGCTGGAGGCTTTGATCTCTTTGGGCTCTTTGGACGGACAGTGTTAGGAGGGATGCCTTCCTGATTGCTTGCCAGTTGCCGAGCGGGTTTGCGAGTACTGTCACTATCTACTTTGGGTGCATTTGTGGGTGGCTCTGCTCTCCACTCTGGAAATCTACTTACATTCGGGTGCACCACATTGACAAATTTATTCTCCTTAGTACTGTCTTTATTAACATCTAGCATGTCGTCAACCTGTTGTTCCTGATTTAAACTCTCATCAACAGGAGGCTCGATGGGGTAACATCGGTCATTTAGAGCTGGGCTAAATTCCTCCTGATCTGCCTCCGCTGAATCACTCTGACTTTGATCCGTTATGTCGCGTGTGGTTGCTGGCTCCACTCCGTAGCTCTCTATGTCGTAGAGGGCTCCACCACCTTGCTCTGTGGTTCCTAGCTGGTCATCAACTTCATAGAGCTCGTCTGGTTCATGACGGCTCTTATATGCATCTGTTGCGCCTGACTGACCATACTGAGTAGCTGGGTTGCTGAAAGAGTCCAGCGGTGCCTTCTCATATGAATCACTCTCTGCTTGTTCTGACTGAGGTAACTCTTCCTCCAGTGCAAACCGTTGTTTCAACTGAGGCTCCCCACCCAGGTAGAAATCTTCCACCTCCTCAAAGAAGTCCTCCCCTTCGACTTCTTCTTCGTCCTCACTCAGGTACTGCATACCCTCCACCCTGGTGTCTCGGCCCAGATCCCCTTCTCCTTCGGCACCAATGTTGTCCTCCTCAGCTTCCTCCCCCTCCCTGGGTGACTCCTCCCCTCGATCCAGAGGAAGCTGCTGGTCATCCTGAGGCTGATCTTCGGCATAATGCCCCTCCCCGCCAATAATGTCCCCCTCTTCTGTCCCCACCTCCCCTTGGTACTCTCTATCATTATCGCTCTCCGTCATGTCCTCTCCCGTGTGGAACTGATCGGCGGGCTCCACGTAGTAATTATTTTCGTCCAGCTGTTGATGGAAGTCATCCCTGGGTAGACAGCTGTCTTCCTCATTCTCATAATAGCCTTCCATCTGGTCATCCTCTCCCTCCAAGGCACCATTCATCTCCTCGGGGCCAATCTCCTCCCCACACTGGGACTCTGATTTCTCTGACTCGGGCAGCTCTCCATTGCTGCGTATGGACGAGGTGATGGTGTCCATATGGAGGTGTGGGTCCAGGGTTGATTTGGGGTTCACAAGGTCACTCTCAGCATCTTCGAACGCGTCGTCAAACTGGGCTGCGTCACGCCTTGCCATGTTTGCACAACACAGCTACCAACTGCTCTCCTGTATAAAACAGAAAGGGAATAACTGATTCAACAATGTATCATGGCTGAGGCTAGTGTGTTAAAAGATACATGAAAATTTCACAGCATTGAAGGCTAAATAAATGTACGGTATCTGGGTACATGTGTTACAGCACAATCCATGATGGTGTGTGTCTTTCGCATCACTGTCAATTTCCAGGTTACAGTGCATGTACAGTACATGTAAATAGGCCAGTGTAAAGCAAATGAAACAAATTTTAGACGCATTATGTGCAAGCAACATGTATGTACATGAACATGTAACAACACAACTGCTATCAAATTATACGCATCTAAGTACACATTGGTCAACTCATGTTAAAAAAATATCAAGCTGCACAGCACAGACATTCAACAATGAAGTAGAAAAGGAATGCTGCCTACATGTACATGTACATTTGCACATGCACATGTATGTATGCACTGTAAATGTACAGTACGCTGGCTTAAATGTCCTCAGTTGGTCAAGGGACAAGACTGATACAACGCTGACAGTCTTTAAATGTTAATGACGCAAAGTGCTGAAAATAACTGATAATTTCTCGAGTCAGTGGGCTTGAATGAGCAATTTTCATTGTTTGTGACTTACTACACAATGTACATGTACATGTATGTAGACACATAAACCAAGAAGAAAAACACCCACAAGCAGGTACATGCAGCATGCTCCATTACTTGCAATGTAACAAATGGAATACAATGTGTCCTAACGCAAAGCCACTACAGAAAGTACTGTACAGTAAGCATATCAAGAATGTGGACACTACATGTACATTATACATACAAGTACCGGTACATTTACAATCGACCAAGATGGCATGTCTGAAGACTCTACTCTCAGTAGACTGTTCACAGTTAGGTGTTACATGTACTGGTAGGTCTTGCTGAGAATGACGTACATGTACACTGTCCATGCGCACTCCACTAAGATTCTTAAAGTACTGGAACAGTTTTCTACAGTACACACTACACGCTGTGTACAAAGCTGCATAAAGATCCCTCTGGTGACAACAAAATTACGATAGGACTTTCATGGTCGACAACGACCAAGAAATTGAATGAAAACACTATGAAGTCATTTTCATTTGATTCCTACATACATGTATATGTACGGTACAGTGCCCTTACATTGTAAGGAAGACAGCCAGTGATACTGGTCATTTTGATCGTACATGGACAAGTACTGTGTACATGTATTTACTACGAATGATATGCATCTAACAACTACAGGTATATACATTATAACAAAATGCCCTTGGCTTCTTCATGTCCATATACCTGTACTATACATGTTCATGTATATGAAGAAAGTTACTTTCTAATGTATGTCATTAACCCTAACCCCCTAGGCTCTTGCACTAGAAAGCATACTGAACCTCAC